TGTGCGATCCATGACTGCCCGGTCATCGTGCACGAATCCGAGCGGATGGCTGGACGGTCACGGAATCACACACCACCGCCGATCGCGCTGGCAGTGCCATTATTTTCTAATGGCACTCCAGTCCCGCTAGGCAGATCTCACGGTTTTCCGACGCAATACCGCCCGGGCGGTCCCACGCGATTGGGGTTGAAAACACTGCGCGGTGCGTGTCGCGAAAAAAGATACATGTACCTTTTTTCACCGATTGCCACGCAGATGTAACCCCATACATGCGGACGCAACCACTGTATGTAACCGCACATGATCGCGCATCCCGGGATTGCCCAAGTCTGCACCAACCCTAAAGGTTAAATTCACTTTCCCAAGTAATTTGGGAAAATGGAATTACCCGCACAAATCTCCCTCCCAATATACTTACCTTTCGGCGAATGGTCCTTCCCGTCCACCAGTGCGGGTGTACTCTCTGTACCTGTTCCGTATATTCTGAATTTCGCTCGCAAATTGCAAGCACTTGTTGGCCAACGCAGTCACCTGACGACGCTGACCAATGAGAAGCGCTTCTTAGCACTGCTAAAGACGGTTTTGGTTAAAATGATTTTTTTGTATCAGGACAAGTAGGTTGTCATGAGGGACAAGTAGATTGGGCCCCCACTTTAGTCCTTGGACAAGTAGTTTTTTCAAAAATGCCCACACCCCTGTAGTATATATATATATGTATGTGTGTATATATATATATACATATTTCATGCCATGTAAATTAGCTGGCTACTCCCTGTGACGACATGGTGATCAGTTTATAAGTTAAATGTGTATTGGTGTTGGGTTATGTTTGAGTGCGTTATGCTGTGTGACCTGGTTATGGAAAGACTATCAGCACCATCCCTCGTTATCTCCCATTGTTCTCTGAGCGAGCTCAGAACAATGACATTCTGGCTAGGCTCCTGCTATGGCTGTCTGGAGCTCGTTAGCAGGTGGACATCTGTGGTGTTGAGCAGACCGATGGTCTGGGAGGGGAGGGTGGATGTGATGCGATTATATTCTGATTTCATCACTTGCTGTATATAAGTTTGTGCAGTTGCTCAATAAATCAGAGTTTGTTTACCCCTACACTCAAGCCTTGGCTAGTGACTGGGGAAACTGGGAGCTACAGATCTTCAGGTTCCAATATCTCCTCAGCAAGGAAGAAGACAGCGGCGGACATACTCATCCTGAGTACGGGGGTCCGTCACACTCCCCATTACAAGAAAGAAGAAATGTGATGCAAGGAATTGTACTCAATGTTTTCAATAAAAAGCACTCCAGAGACATCATTTTTATAACACGTTTCATTAGTATATAATCAAAAACACTAACAACATGTTCATGAATTCAGTTCTCTAGACCACGACACACATTTTAAAGCATTACAATTTTTTTTTAATTAACATATAAAGATTAAGCCCCTCCCACAAAAAATATTAGTAATGTTGGAAAGTCTTTCAGTAATATAATATTGTTTTGTATAATAGTTGGCAAAGGTTTAGGAATTTACCAACATTGGTTGCTCTATGTCCAGCCTTATGCAATCTACAACATTAGCACCACAAATCTGGTGGCTCCTCTGCCACTCTGCTTTTAAATAGGGTTATTTCATCCAAATGTATCATGGGCACATCTCGTATTACATCTGCCAAGTTCTCATGCAAAAGTGGGAAAATGACAACGTTCAATGCTGGCCGTTCCGATGAGAAGCTAGAAACAAAACAGAAGAATATTATAAATATAGAATATAGAAATAAAAAAGGTAAGTGTACATTGTGCTAAGTAAGAATCATATCTGGAACCTGTTAATGCCCATGTAAAAATAAAAAAATATGTAATATAACTCGGGACATAAAACTTTTTTAGCTGCACTAATTTGCAACTGACTCAGCAGAATGGGTTGTTTCTAAGTGCGTAAGACGGTTACTAGTATCTGTAAGAAAAAAAAATAAAAAAAAATTGCAGAACGTTGATCCAGGAAGATATCCTATTACCTTATGACAATGGTCTCCAAATTGTGGCCCTATGCTTATTTTTAACTGGCACTTGGGGCACCATTTCTCACATTAAGGCCCCATTCACACCTGACCGTTTTGTAGCGCGTCCTACGCTCGATGAACGCTCTACAAAACGGTCAAAAAAATAAATAGCATTGTAGTCAATGGTATCGTTCCCACCTGTCCGTATTTCCGCCCGTCCCGAACGCACTACAAAACGGCCCACGCATGAAAAGGTCCCGGAGCGTTTTTTGCTGCGTATTGGTCCGTTTTGTAGGGCGTTTTCCATTTGTATACTGCCAAGTAGCCTTTGGAATCGCGCGACTTTTTTACCGCGAATCGCGGTAAAAAACCACGTGACGGTCGCGCGACAGACGCACATATTACAATACGCATAGGTGTGAATGGGGGCTAACACCAATTGATACCAATGGGTTCCATGGACACCAATAATGGGGCACTTTTCCTCACACTGACACCAATGGTGGAGCACTATTCTCCCCCCTGCCACCAACAATGGGACACTATTCCCCCCACTAAAACCAACAATAAGGCACTATTCGTTCCACTTATGCCAATCATGGGGAACTATTCCTTCAACTGACACCAACGAAGGGGCATATTCCTTCAACTGACACCAACGAAGGGGCATATTCCTTTAAAAAAAACAAACGAAAAACGCACTCAACAATTTGTTACCAGTTATACAGTAAGGTGCACAAGAAATGGGCTTTGAATAGTAAAACAGCAGAAAGGCATCATGGCACACTCACAAAACCAACATGTAAAACAACTTGTCTCACCACTAAGGACAATGACAGAGGTTTGGATACACATCTTCAGCCGAGGATGTGTAAGCCGCACTGCCACGCCAAGGCACCTCTTATAGTGCGGTCCTAACTCTGAACTATGAGAGTCTCCATCTTGGAGCACATGGTTTTGTGAGTGTGCCATGATGCCTTTCTGCTGTTTTACTATTCAAAGCCCATTTCGTGTTCACCTTACTTTATAACTGGTAACAAATTGTTGAATGCGTTTGTCGTTTGTTTTGCTTGACCGATTTGGTGCAGCGACGCATGGGGTTTCTCAGCTGCCAATAGGATGTGCGGGATCCCTTGTGTGTTTCTGTACCTTTAAGGAGGTTGGGCGTCCTCCTGACAAACCTGCACCCAATTTGATATCTTCTGCCCCCATGTGCTCCAAGATGGAGACTCTCATAGTTTAGAGTTAGGACCGCACTATAAGAGGTGCCTTGGCGCGGCAGTGCGGCTTACACATCCTCGGCTGAAGACGTGTATCCAAACCTCTGTCATTATCCTTAGTGGTGAGACATGTTGTTTTACATGCTGGTTTTGTGAGTGTGCCATGATGCCTTTCTGCAATATTCCTTTAAATGACACCAAAGTGGCACTATTCCTCCCACTGATACCAACGATGGGGCACTATTCTTTCCACCAACACCATGCTTCCTCCAACTGACACCAATGATGGGGCACCTTCCCCACCCCCCAACTGACACCATCAATGGAGCACTATTTATTTCACTGACATTAACAATGGCCCACTATCCCAACAAAAGCAATTTATTGTCAAACATATTTGGTAGGCAAAGGAGTACATTTGTCTGGGTTTAGTCATTTTTGAACATAATGGTTCATATATATTTTCACGCAAGCTTTACAAAATACTGTTGTGCAGTAGTATTTTCCACTGAACCTAGAACTGATGCACAGATGAGCTGAGAATAAAGCTGGAATGTATTTATTTCTAAAACTGCTATTACATATTCCAAGCACACCAGAACTGAAGAACTTTAATACAATCTGATTAGCAGGGCCCTCCTAACCCTCTTGTCTTGAACTGCATTACATTGTATTGTAGCTGTACTGCCTCCCTTTATTTTGCAAAGCTCTATACAAACGGTTGACACAATATAAATCCTCTATAAGAATATACTATTAATACAAAATATGCTATTAATTACACAGCATTAGGATGTGTAATATTCTGACTCCCCAAAAAATTCACAATACAGCCTTTCTGTAATGCAGGGGTATTCAACCCTTTGTGGCAAAAAATGTTTGCATAATATTGATAGTGCCTGATATATAAAACAAAATGTCTAATTCATATTCTCAATCAAAAATAAATATTTAGTGGGAACCCACCCTGGCCCAGGCCCTGGGGATTGGTTATCGGAGGGACAATTTTGCTTCTTTGTCTCCTCCCTCCAGGGGCCGGATAGTCTCGGCGGGGAGCCAACAGAGTTTGACTCCCTCCTCCTGGCCTTAACACCTCCTTCCCACGTGGTATCCCTTCTCTACTCTCCCTCCTGGCCTCTCCCACGCTACCTGCCTACACGTCGGCCTGGGAGCGCGAGCTGGAACTAACTTTTACGAGCGACGAGTGGGAGAAGTCGTTTGCTCTCACACACTCTCTGTCAGTGGCCAGCAGGGCTCATGGGAAAAACCTTAAGATACGCACCAGATGGTACCGCTGCCCTACGGTCCTCCATCGGTATTACCCTACAGTGGCCAATGCCTGTTGGAGGTGCGCTGCCTCCCCAGGAAACATGACGCATATTTGGTGGAGCTGCCCTCAGCTTCAAGGGTTCTGGAGGGGAGTATTGGGGATGTACCACAGAGTGACAGGAACAGCTATTGCTAACGACCCCAAAATTCTACTCTTGTCCATGGTCCCAGGATCAAATCAAGAAAACGAAGAGGGGCCTTCTCCGTCACTTTCTCACGGCAGCCAGGACTGTTATCCCGCGTCACTGGCGTTCATCGGTGGTACAATATCTGGATGTATTGGGTGGAGACACCACAGATGGCCCTGGGCCTATACCAACGTATGCTTACTATGCATTGGGCTGCAGGTAATACCACTGATCTTGATAAACCGTAACCGCTCAGATACTGTTGACTGTTCTGTTGCTAATATCCACAGACCTATTGGCCCATAGATTAATGCCTTACACGTGTAATGTTTGTATTTTGTAAACTGTCCCGTGTTTATTTTTGTCAAAGTGAACTTGTTTCTTTACCTTTCTGTGTTAAATGTTAAACTTTAAGAAACTCAGATTGAACTAAAATTTTATATTTAGAAAGTAAACGGGGGTGCTATAAACTAGATTGCACTAGATTGCAATAATAAACTAGAACTGCAATAATAACCCTCAACATTGGTCAGTGTCTGCAGTAATAACACCAAGCATTTGTGTGAGTGACTGCAATAACATACCTCCCAACTTTAGCCTTTCATAAAGATGGACAGCATGTATAGAGAATAATACAGCACCCACAAAAGGGCTCATGGCTGCATAGGGCTTAATATTGGACATGGTTTAAAGGGGTGCAGGTAAATAGAGTCTGAGTCTATGCACAATATACACTGCAATTAACAATTAACACTTTGGCCAGGGGCATGCAACATACAGCACAGTATAAAGATTGCAGCAGTTAAGGTTATATAACATAGACCCCTCACATTGCTGGTCAGTTGAAAGGGGGGGAAAAAACCCTGGCCTGGGTGGTAAGTGGGCAAAAAAAATGCCCTGCTGTTGGTAGTCAGTGGAAGAAAGAATGCTTGGCATCATTGGTCAGTAGGAGAAAAAATACTCAGTATCATTGGTCAGCAGAAGTCAAACTAAATGAGCTGCTATTGGTGGTCAGTGGGAGGAAAATGCCTTGCATTAATTGGTGTGTGGGAAGAAAAACACAGGCTTTATTGGTCAGTGGGAAGAAAAACACAGGCTTTATTGGTCAGTGGGAAGAAAAACACAGGCTTTATTGGTCAGTGGGAAGAAAAAACACAGGCTTTATTGGTCAGTGGGAAGAAAGACACAGGCTTTTTTGGTCAGTGGCGTGGGAAATAAAATGCCCTGCAGCATTGGTCAGTGGCAGAAAACTGCCTGGCTCCATTGGTCAGAAGAAGACAAATGCTTGGTGTTAGTGGTCAGTGGGAGAAAAGGAATGCCCCAATGATAAATGCTTTTTATTAGGGTTTTTGAAAACTTTTTTACAGGTTGCTTACAAAAAGAAAAAAGTCAAAGACAAAACAGTATGGTGCCGCTTGACACAGCACCCCACATCCACAATGAAGTACAGCAAAATACAACACACTACAATATTCCAAGTGTATATATCAAGTTTAATTCCAGCCACATATGATGTATAGTATAAATCAAGAATAAACAGTAATTACATAGTAACAAACCATGTGAGTTGTATTATTCAAATAGCATGTAGCTGATACACAAAACCAGCAAAATATCTACAGCAAACACAAATCAAAATGATGTAACCAAACAATAAACAACACTAAAACTAGAACCGCCATACCCATCCCCCCAAAAACATCTTTAGCAATACAGTACAACAAGCCGGAATGAGTAAATCCTTATCCTTAATATGAACACAAGGTAAGGTCCTTCCCTATACAGTGGGGCAAAAAAGTATTTAGTCAGCCACCAATTGTGCAAGTTCTCCCACTTAAAAAGATGAGAGAGGCCTGTAATTGGCATCATAGGTAGACCTCAACTATGAGAGACAAAATGAGAAAACAAATCCAGACAAATCACATTGGCTGATTTGGAATGAATTTATTTGCAAATTATGGTGGAAAATAAGTATTTGGCCAATATCAAAAGGTCATCTCAATACTTTGTTATATATCCTTTGTTGGCAATGACAGAGGTCAAACGTGTCCTGT